ACGTAGAGCTACGTTCAGATTTGAATATTTCATTTGTGTTATTTGTAAAAATGATGTGTTATTCGAGTATTATATGGTGTTATTCGATTATATTGCGGTGTTATTGGAATATTTCATCGCGTTACTTGATTTGGGACTAAAGTGTTATTAGAATATTTCCTCGCATTACTTGATTTGGGGCTGTGTTATTTCAATAATATAGTGGAAATTGAAATAACACGGGGGATATGCCAAATAACATAGCCCAAATCAAATAACAAGGATAATTTCCAATAACACCACAAAATGATCGAATACTCGAATAACACATCATTTTAACAAATAACGTAGATGAAATATTCCCGTAACACATCCGAATATTCCAATCCGAATGTAGCTCTACGTCAGAAGTCCTAATTTAATATTTTTTCCCATCTAAGAGAGTGAATAAAGTGATACCTCAACTGATTTCCAAACCCTTGCTTCTTGCCCAGTTCTGTCATAAAGCTTTGCAAACAAACCATCTCCTTACTAGTCTTAGTGTTAGCAATGTATTTAGGTTTCATAGTTGAAATTACAACAATTTGCTGTAACTTAAAAACCCAATTCACTGTTGTGTTGCCCAAAATGAAATACTCTGTTGCCAAATATGAGGTTATATTATGTTGTACTTTGTCTGTCATTTACATCCCCTGCTAGACCTGAATCTACATACCTTGTAGATCAATTCCTACAATTCTAAAGCAAAGTTTTTTGTTGATTGTTCCACTTCACTGCCTCCCAATAATGCTTGTCAGAATTGCTTATGTAATTGCAAACCACTTTAACTGCATGTGTAATATCTGGTTTCGTACAAATCATAGCATACATCAAACTTCCAACTACTGAAGTGCACAAGTTTCTCCCCATCTGTGCTTGCTCTGCTTCAGACTTCGGTGATAGTTCCTTATAGTTTGAAGTGACTACTGAAGGGGGTGCAAACTGGTTTTGCTTCATTCATGTTGAGCATCTTTAGGATCTTCTTAACATACTCTTCCTAAATAACTTTAATGTATGTTCACTCCTGTCTCTGCTGATTCTTATCTCGAGAATTTTCTTGGTTGGACCTAAATCCTTTATCTCGAACTCCTTTGATAATTGCTTATTTAAGTCCTTGGCTTTCTTCATATTTGCTCCTACAATCAACATATCATCCACATACAAGAGAAGCTATAACAATTGCTAAAATTTTTGATGAAGCAACAGTGGTTTGGCTAAAAATTCATGTACCCATTGTCTGACATAAAATTCTCTAACCTCCTATACCACTATCTCGGAGCCCGCTTCAAGTTATGGAGGCTCTTCTTCAATCCGCAAAATCTTATTTTTCTTGGAATCTCATAACCCTGCAGTTGCAACATACATAGTTCCTCTTCTAGAAGTCCATGTAGGAATGTTGTATTTACATTGATTTGCTCTAGATAGATCTTCCTTTGCTATTAAGCTCAAAACAACTCAGGCAGTTGTTTTCTTCACTACTTGAGAAAATATTTGTGTAGTCCAATCCTTTCTTTTGGTGAAACCGCTTTACAAGGAGTCTTGCCTTGTAGCGCCTGCTATCATCTAACTTCTTTTTCAGCCTGTAGAACCACTGTCTTATATTGCTCTTTTCCCATCTAATAATACCACTAAATCCCATGTTTGATTTGATCTCAATAATTGTATTTCATCATTTATAATAATCTCTAACTATTTTTAATCTTCAACTTTAGTGACCTTTTGATAACACTCTGGTTCACCACTATCTGTTAGCAATAAATAATACAAAGAAGGAGAATACATTTGTATTGATCTCGATATTCTCTTGGACTTCATGACTTCAGTAGCAAGTGACTGAGAAGCCTCTTGTGTTTTATCAGATTGAGCACTTCTCTTTTCTCCATCCTCCTAATCATTAGTATCTTCTATTTTAATATTTTTGGACTCTTTAGAAATAACTGACGGGCAATCCTGAGTTATGTTCTTATTCTTGTACATCTCGATTTCTTTCAAAGTGACATTTCTATTGATGATGAAGTTCTGATTTTCAGAATCTCATAATTTGTATCCAGATTCATATGAATAATACCTAACGAAAATACACTTGACAAAATTCATATTAAATTTACTTTGAGCCCTACATCATGATGAAGATATGCAAAACAATCAAATAACTTTTGATGATATAAATTTACTTACTTTTTACTCCAGTTTTCTTCAGTAAGTCTTTCTTTAAAGATACCGACGAAACACGTTTAATTCGATAAACAAGTGTGTTCGCTGTTTTTGCCCAGAATTGCTATGATAAACCTGCATGCAATCTCATATTCTTGACACACTCTATAATGGTTCATTCATGATCTCAGCCACATCATCCTGTTGTGGAGTCTTTAAAACTGTGAACTATTGTCTGGTCCCCTCTGATGCACAGTAACTCCTAAAACTCTGATCACGATATTCACTACTATTATCTGATCTAAGATACTTAAGTCTCAAGCTTATTTCTTTTTATATCATGGCCTTCCACTTCTTAAATAGTCCAAATACATTAAATTTATGCTTTAAAAAGTAAACACATACTTTTCATTTGTGATCATCAATGAAAGTGACAAAGTAATGGGAACATCCAATGAACTGAACTGAAGTAAGACCCATACGTCGGTATGCACTAACTCTAGCTATGAGACTTCACCATTGACCTACTTTCGAAGAATGAAATTTTCTTTTGCTTGTTATATACACAATCTTTACAAAAATCTAACTCTATAGACCTGAAATCATGAAGCTTATACTTAGAATGTTGCGACTTCATTAACTTTCTCGTTCCTATGGTCAAGCCCGCGGTGCTAGTGATTTGAGTCGAACTTGGTTCTAGTCACTTCAATGGATTCTATCATCTTATTGATCTGGTGAAAAGTGTCTTCAATTGTGCCTCCACAAATCACTTGTGAAAGTAGTCACGTACCTTGATTTTGTCAATTGGCTCATCGAGAGTAGATTTCTTTTCAGACTTGCAACATATCTAACTTCATTGATCTTCTAGACTATTTCATTTGGAAACTTATTATCAACATTACCATTTTTTATGATACTACATATTGAGTGTAGTTTTTAAACACTTTTTTGTTGGGGCATGCATAAAAAAATGCAGCTTAATCTATTATCTAAGATTTAGTACTGACTAGAGATAAAACCAGGCAATCTCTATTAAATTCTCATGTGTATACATTTGTGAAGAGATTCCTGCCTTGGCCTCCATCATAAGCTTTATTTGAAGCTTTGCAGTTCTTGAAATGACCTTTCTTCTTGCAGTTCAAACATTCACCTCTATCGTTTTCTTTCCTTGACCCAGGCCTTCCTTTTTTGGGCTTGAATTTGTCTCTCCTTGTAATACTATTCAAATTCTTTCTTCTGTTCTCAACATTTAACCCAGAACTTGCTGATTCACCACTTGCTACTTTTTTGCTGACTTTTTTATTCAACATTAATCCTATTATATCATCAAAGTTTAACTTTATATTACCTGAAGAGTTGCTTGCCGCCATGACCCGTCTATCCCAGCTATCTGACAATAAAGATCGAATTAACAGTGATTTAATATTGTCATCAAATTTGATGCCCATAGTATACAGTTGTTACAGTGTTGACATTATTCAATTGTTGAGCCACTGATTTTTTTTCCACCATTTTCATATTTAATAATCTCTTCATTAGAAAATCTTATTTGAAGCAGGAGATTTCTCATATATCCTTATCAATGTTGCCATAAGATCCATCCTAGATTTCTCATTCAATATATTGAAAGCAACATATGAGGAAATTAAATGACAGATCAAGCCCAGGGTTATTTGATTAAGCACTTTCCATTCCCTCAGAGTCGTCGATTTACGCTTCTTGGTGATTTTTTCTAGTGGTATATATAAATTTCTTTTGATACAACAAATCTTCCACTTGCATCTTCCAAAACGTAAAGTTCAAATCGTTGAACTTCTCCATCTTGTATCTCGTTTTGTCGACCATTGTTTTGACTCAAATCAGAAGTTTTCATAAAAGAAACCCGCTCTGGTATCACTTATTGGGATGAAAAACTTGAGATTTGATCGATTTACAACTAAAATTACACTGCAGAAAACACACCAATTTGAGATATTTGGAGTAATAAATTGTACAAAAAAACTGCAGGAAAGAAATTTAGAAAAAAACACAAAAATTGATGTTAAAAACTTGAGAACAGGAAAAATTCATGGACCAACACCAGACCAAAAAATTCACTATGAAAGGAGAATAGTACAGAATTGCACTATTTAGACGCACTTTGTTCACCACTGGAAATTACAACAATTTTCATTCCTTCCTCTCTATATATCAGATGAGAAATGGTTCTCCAAAATTCACCCTCTTGACACAACGCCTCTTCACACATATTACATACCATTGAGAATACACCGTGAGAGAGTTCAACTAATCTATCGTGAAAGAAGAACTTAAATCCCAAACTGCATACAATCACTCATGCTGCCATAGCGCGCCGCTCCTGGGTGCTGTCTTCTACTCGCTTGGGTTGAAGTCACGAATCAAAGCATTGTTGCCGCTTGAAATTGACACTGGTGCTCCGCCCTCTATATCCAGGCATGGCGGTGCTTGAAATAGGCGCATTGGTGCTGCCCCCTCTCGATCCAGGCGCTTAGGTACCCATTTGGTGCCTGCTGTTGCCGGCTTCCAATTAGGCTCCAAATCACTAAGCAATTGAAATTTCTGAGAGCAGTTGAGAAAGCTCTTTTTGACTGAGACATTCGTTCTGTCACATCCTGTTTGATCTTAATTACCTTTTTTCTTTTTGTCAACTTTTGTGAGGTTTACATTATCTTTGACGGAGCAATTTTGGAGGAAACTGTGTGGTTAATGGTATTGAATATATGCTTTTGCGTCGTTATTCCATAACACCTAGGAAGCTACTTTTTTCTTTTTCATTATTATGACTATACATATTTATTGCTTTGCAGGCAATCTTCTGTTACTGGGTGACATCCAACCTTTTCTCCCTTCTATATGGATTCGGTAAGCAAGTCATGTTTTGGAAGGAAAAAATATGAAAAAATAAATGAATACACAAATAAATAAAATAGAAAATCTTAAATGGGTGACATCGAACCTTTTTGCTCCTAAAACAGTACTCAAACGCCCACCAGTAAGGAAGTTCTTAGATCTTCCTGAGGCCGTTCCCAAGCTAGAGCTGGCATCACAGCCGAACTTCTTCTTCGGCACATCCAAACCAGTTCTTCCTGCAGCCTCTTCCACTCAGGAGAATGAAGCAGCGGTTAAATCTCCTGAACAAAGGCCATCTTCATCTGCTGTTATCAGCCAACGCATTAAGAATCTTGAGAAGACCGTTAAAGCCAGAAACAAATACCAAAAGAGGTGAATTTCAGCTAAAATTTTGTTTACATTATAAATTATACTCGGCCCTTGGTTTCTTAAATATCATGAGCTGCTTTTACATATTAAGAACTAGGTAATGGACTACGAGATTACTCCTTGCCTGATATATGATGCAGCGTTTTTAATTCTTATGTGACATTTTAATCCTAGCGTTTGAAAAATCATCTTTGATGCTCAAAATCAGAATGCAAACGTTTTTATAAACAGATGGTACAAAGGGATGTTGTTTGAGGGTGTATGACCTTTAGTGAAAATTGAGCCCCTTAAAAAAAATGCAGCTATTTAATGTGATGAAATTATGACGATTATGATGTTCATTGATATTAAGAAAATTTTATTATTTGCAGCTTTATACTAAGAACATACCACCTTTACCAAATATCAAGTAAATAACTATGAGGAATGATTAGGCCAAAACCTATACGTTATCAAAAAATTTTCATTTTTTGTGAATCCCGAGGTGTGAGATGAACTTTGAGGTAATTTCTTAGCAAGAATTGTTCAAAATTCAATTAAAAATCATCCAAAGTTCCGATTTCAACAATTTGAAGTCAAACTGACCGACTCGATGGGATAGACCAATGACACCAAAAAATGGTCCAATATGGGGAAAATCAAGTTTAGACCAGTGTTAAGTTATTTTTGAAAGCTTTCAGCGCTTGATTATAAAGTATAAACCAGTGTTCAGAATTCCGATTTCAACAATCTGAAGTCAAACTGACCGACTCGATGAGATAAACTCAATGACACCAAAAAATGGGCCAATATGGGGAAAATCAAGTTTAGACCAGTGTTAAGTTATTTTTGAAAGCTTTCAGCGCTTAATTATAAAGTCAAATGAATTTCAAATTTAACAAGCTTAAAGTCAAATCGATTATCTCGACAAGAGGAATACAATGAGCCAATGATCACATAATTCTGACATCATTAAGACACTAAATGTCTTCAAAATATCGTTTGATTAGGGAAACCTATTCGGACTTCCCCATGGAGTGGTTTAGTTTTTCTTTTGATTTGTCGAGAGACCTCTCTTTGATTTTGTAAAAAGGCCCTCTACCCGTTTATGAGGGGACTAAGACCTAAAACTTGGATTGAGGGTTGAGCCTAAAGAAGGATTGGGAGAAGAAGTTGAAGCACAGTGTCATTTGTACATTGAAGATTCAGCGAACTTTTTCCGCTCATACAGTTTCCGACCATCATCAACCACAACTCGCCGTCCCATGTTGACTATCGTCGATCGCCTTCAGCTCATTGCAACGAAACCCTTGCGCAATTACGCTGTGCTCTATGGAATCTTGACATACATTACGAAGTAACGAGACATCCTATGAAGTATCATACCTCAAAGATGGTGTAATAATGCCTCATAGATGGTGTGACACGTACCCCAAATGCATTGTAACAATCCACACTAAAGACAGTGCAACGAGGACTCCCAAAGATAGTGTAACAATGCACGCCACAATAACGGCTTACAATCACTGTACTCAAGACGCAATGTTTTTCTTTCGACTCTTGAAGCTCTCGCCTTTCAACCCGCCACTATGGTTTATGTAGCCAATTACGACCTGATGCAGTTTACAACTTGAATAGCTCCCGACTCCACATGTGCAGCCTACGGAGATCATCACAACTCGGGTAACTCCCAAATCCAATCTCTGCTTTTTACGGATGTTATCATAGCTCGTGAAGCTCCAAACTCCGACTTTTGTGGTCTATGGACATTATCAGAGTTTGTGCAACTCTAAATTATTGCCTTTGCAACATAATAATGTTATTACAGCTGCCCACTACGGTCTACTTGACCAACTACGTCGTACACAGACCGCAACTCATGTAACTTTCAACTTCGATTTTTGCGGCCTACGAACATTATTACAGCTCGTGCAACTTTCAACTCTAGCCTCTGCGGCCTACGAATTTAATCACAATTTGTACAACTTTCAACTCCTGCCTCTGCGGCTTATAGAATTTATCACAACTCGTGCAACTCCCGACTTCGGTCTCTGTAGCGGATAAACATTATAATAATTCTTGCAGCTCATAACTCCGGTTTCTGCGGCCTACAAACGTCATCACAACTAGTGTAGCTTCCATCTCCGACTTCTACTGCCTATTGATATTATCACAGTTCACGGAACTCTCAACTCTAGCCTTTGCGGCCTACGAGCATTATTCAGCTCTCAGTTATGACCCACATGACTAACTACGCTGCACGTGACCCACAACTCATGCTACTTCCAACTCTGGCCTTTGCGACCCATGGACATTATCATAGATCACCACCACGACACATGTGACCAACCATGACCTAAGTGACTCGTCTCTTGCAACTCCTTACTATGACTCTGTGGTCAACCGTTGCTCTTAAAGCAACCATTTATGGCCTACATGGCGGACTATTACCATTGCTTTCAATTACGACCTCTATAACAAGTCGGCGCTACTGCCACCGTCTACAACATTCACGGTGGCCTACTGCCTCTATAACAATTGACTACAACTTTCATGGCCTGTTTCGGTTATGTTGTTGTAATATCGTTGTACATTAATTTTGTAATTCTTTCTTTCTTAACTCAAGAGAAGAGTGAGTCTGTGCACTCATCATTACATAGTGAATTATTTCAACAGTGCTAGACTCCGTGGTTATTTTCCTTTTCCATGATTTTTTTATGTAAAAACTTTTGGTATCTCTACTACTTGTCACTTTAATTATTTGAGTATGTTTGATTTTCGTGCAACGCTAAAACACTAAATAATTACTCTACCATCGTGACTCTTCCGACATACATTAGTTTGGGATCTTCTGTGAGAAACAAAGTTTCGTTTGACATAGTCTTCAAGTTCGCAACGTTAAGTCTCTGCTTCTTTTCCTAACAATATACATTATCCAACTAGCAAAAGAAACTCTTTTGCACCTTTGGAACATTCTTTAATGTTGGGGCAGCCTTCACTATAGTCTCAAAAGGTTGTTCGCATCAACATTTAGGGCATGACTATTGTGGGGTAATGTTTCTGCATCCCATTCAGATATCAAGTCTATAAAAATTACTTTTAGGTTTGTGGGCAACCTTCATTGTAGTCTCCTTATGTCATTCACGTTAACGTCCCAGACACATTTGTGGCTGGATAGCCATCATAGGTCTCATTCATAATCAATTATTTGAGAACCGTTTTCGGGCTAGGGGTAACCTTCATCGCGAAGAGCGCTTTCATTAGTTTTCCTTCACCATACTGGAGTTCATCTTCGAGTGTGAATCAGGAAGTTGATCACTTCAAGATTCAATACATGGACCGTTTTACAAGCTCGTGTGAGAAATACATTAGTTTATAATTTAGTGTTTGTGATATAATTGAGGCTAGGCAATATAAGCCTAATGAAAGAAAATTGGACTCAAGAACTATTATCTACTATTGTATTGTATACTAAAAAAATGTCAAGGTGTTTTAAGTTTTATGACCCCTCAAATAAGTTCTTTTTTGAGATGTGTCATGCTAAATTTATTTAGGATGTTGAATATGGTGGTAGTAAAAAACTTAGGAATTTTATCTTTGAAGGTGAATATATTACTATTCCTATTATTAGAATTGAAAATGATTAGATAAATGTACATAATAATATTTAAATTGTAAATCAAGATAATCAAGATATTAGTTACCTTCTATTCATATTACATAATCACAACAATCTCAACTTGAAGTGCTCTTAAGGAGATCAACTAGAGAGAGGAGAATAATGATTTCAGATGATTTTGTCGCATGTCTCAAAGAGCATTAGTTTGATATTGGATTGAAAAGTGTTCTGAAATCTTTAGTCATGTCAAACATAGTGCTAACTCCCATAAATTAATAGAAGTCATGAATGATGAGATGAAAAGTGATCTATTGGTAAAGAAGAATGTTTTATCATACAACTCAATAGGTTGTGAATGAATTCTTAAAATCAAATGGGATTCAAAAGGTAATATCAAAGGATATAAGACGCATCTTGTTGCTAAAGATTAAAAAGGAAGATGTTGATTATAAAGAAAATTTCTCTCCAATTTTTTCAGAAGACTCATTTAGAATCATTATGGTACTAGTCGTTCATTTTTATTTAGAACTACATCAATTGAATGTAAATACAATGTTTCTTAATTGTGACATCGATGGAACGATATATTATGTTGTTACCAAAAAATTTTCGAACTATTGATTCTAAACATCTGATTTGCAAATTAAAGAAATCTATTTATGGTTTAAAACAAGTATCCCATCAATGGTATAAAAAAATTGATCAAGTGGTTACTTCTTTTGATTTCAAAGAAAATACTATTAATCAATGCATTTATCATAAGGTCCGTGAGAGTAAATTTATCATTTTTGTGTTATATGTCGATGATATTCTACTAGTAAGTAGTGATAATAGCTTTTTTTGAATGAAACTAAGAGATTCTAAGAAATTTGAAATGGAAGATCATTGGAATGCATCTTTTGTGTTGGGTATACAAATTTATCCAGATTGTTCTTCTGGTATACTTAGCCATCACAAACAATATATATCGATTATATAATCAGTAGATTTAGTATGAAGGATTGTGCACAGAAGATATACTATGGGTGATAAGTTTAGCATGCTTCAATGCCCAATAAATGATCTTGGAAAGAAAGATATGGAAAAGTTCCCTTTTGCATCTACAGTAGGGAATCCTATGTATGCTCAAGTTTGTATGTGCCTGCATGGTGCATACATTATTGGAATGCTTGGCAGATATCTAAGTAATCCGGGAATGAATTATTAGAAAGCAATAAAGCGGTTTATGCAATATTTAAAGAGAATTAAAACTATGCTCACATATCATAAATAAGATCATTTAGAGATAATGGGGTATTCAAACCCTGACTTCTGGTGGTTGCCTCGATAGTAGAAGATTCACTACAAGCTATATTTTCTTGTTAGTTGGAAGATTTGAGACTTAGGAAAGTGTCAAGCAGTTACT